AAAATTAGAGAATTGAATATGATACCATCATGAAATGAACAAATCTGAGAGAGGACCGCCTGGAGTACCTATACGTATAATATAGCAATCTGACTTGGGGTTTTTAACAAGAAGTTGAAAATACAACTTTTTATCAAAAATAGCAAAAATATTCATCAAAATTAGAGAATTGAAGATATAACAAAATGAACAAATCTGACAGAGGTCTGCCCAAGGTACATATACACCAAGTATCAAAGCAACAAGTCTTGCAGTTGTCAAGAAGAAGTGGAAAAAGTAAAACATTGATTTGCACATCGACAAATTCGACAGTGGAGAAACTAAGAACAAGATAACGAATTAACAAATGTTTACTGACAAGAACTACAAATTCTTTATCAAAAAAAGATTTCCTTGTATATCATAATTGTTTTTTAAATAAAAATAAAATTGTACAATCTTACCTGTATCCAGGTATGTTTGATAAAGTTCATCATCTTTACTTTCAAAGAAGCCTACAACACTGATATCAGACTCCTTATTACTTATCAAAAGCTTCAATGCTTTCTTGTCATCTATCATAATTGAACTATCACCAGCTTGTTTCTGCATGTAACTTATAATACCTGAGAGAAAAGCAAAAAATGTTTATGTAATAAAATGATCGCTATTTTTAAAAAATACTATGGTCTATAAATAGATTACCCAGGCACTTATGAGGGTGATTTTCATAAATTATTGAAATCCAAACTTCCAACCAAAATTAGAGTTTCATAAAAAACAAACAGCCTCTTAGCTGTTAGCAATGCACATTTCAATTAAATAACTGAAGATATCATTATAAAATGAACAATATGTATAGTATCAAAGCAATCGGACTTGCTGTTTTCAACAAGAATTCGAAAAATATAACTTTTTACCAAAAATGACAAAAATATTCATCAAAATTCGAGAATTGAAGATATCATTACAAAATGAACAAATCTGAGAGAGGTCTACCTAATACATGCATGTTTTGCCCCAGAATATTCCAAATAAGTGTCATAATCAGGAAGAGCATACTGCTGCGGCCAAATTGGCAAGTGTAATGCAGGATTTTTATTCATAATAAATCAATAATTGTTGATGGTGTACCAAGAAATCAATTTACCAAACTTGCATACCTTCTCATATTTTGATTGGATAGTTGACCCGGTACATCCCACAAACCTACAACCTCAAGAATAGCCGTAACATTAT